GAGAGAGAGAGAGGTAATAAAAAACATGAATACAAACTTGTACACTCCATACACATTAGAGAGTGAAAGGAAGGGCGGGAGGGGATACAGGGTGCTCACATCAAGGTTTAAAAACTATTTGTAACAGAAACATCGATGGTCCATTTCTGTTGGACTGTATTGGCTTTATAAAGGGAAAATGGTTTTACCCAAGAAAAAGGGAAAGCATGTGAAAGATGGGGAAAAAAAAGGGAAACAGTGGAAAAAAGTTGAGAATGGATAATGCAACGGTCAAATCTAGTAAAAATATGTTATTCTAGTTTTCCTGAAAGGGGATGTTATAATGGAAATAATGGATGTTTTCCATTATTTTGAAAATAATATTCATCTCTTACTTTTTCAAAATAATTTTATTGAAATAGATTGGAACCTATTATAAAGGCTGTTAGGCCATTATAAATGGCTGTTATAAAAGAAACAACAGTCATTATTAATTGGATGATCATTTTCCAAAATCCCACATTTTTCCTTTAGATAACATCATGGGTAGGTGATTTCCTGTATATCGGCCGTTCTAACCATCTTGGCGGCCATTTTTTAAAACTTGACTCACATACATGTGAGTATGTGTACGTCATATTTGCAGTTAGCTACGAATCAATGTGTATTAACATATGTGAGAGAGAGAGAGAGAGAGAGAGAACCTTAATGGCCCTAAGGGAAGCCATATGATATCCCAGTGGAAAGTTGGCAGCCTGCAGGAGAAAGGAAATAATATTGGAGAAAGATTAAATGCCAGTCCTGGAGAGGATATCTAGGAGCATGATTAGCAACATCAAAGCAGATAATTATAACAGGCCATAGTATTAGAGCGCCACCTTCTATTTTGCAAGAACTAATCTTTATTTGCAGGTACAAATATTTGGGGCTGATCTCACAAATCTTCTTCCATTTTATAAATAATTTGATAAAAAAATCTCAATCAAATGAATGGCTTTCATTGCTCTCTCTTCTATATTCTCTTTTCAATTCATAAGACGAGTGATAATTACATTAGAAAAGAGTTACCATGAGTAGTACAACACTCCACAAAAACCTTTCACCAAGATACAAACAACATAGCACAGGGTATTGTCTTTTGCTTTCTGATCTGTAAGTACGGACCTTTCATAAGGAAGCTACAAGAATGCATACCTGATCCATTAAAAGATCATGGATTACCAAGATTCGGAAAACAATTCAAGGAAATGAGAAGGTAGTTAAGAAGGAAGTTCAGTAGTAAGTATTTGTTCAGCAAACTCGGGAAACTAATTGCTTTAACAGTCATAAAGAGAGCGGTGAGTCAAGACTAAGAAAATAATTCAGGCATTGAGGAAAGCATAAGCTATCTGAGAAGGAAGTGGAGCAGTAATAATTGATTAGGAAAGCTAATTGAAGATATGCTTATGCTATTTGCTGCATATGGGAGGCTGATCAGGCTACTCAACTTTTCAGTAATCCACCCAATACTGTGGGTGGCCAAATCAAGTGTACACATACAAGGTCACCACCACTGTTTTTTCGTGGGCTTAATAAAAAATTCAGTGGATAACTAAAAAATTGAGTGGGCAACCAGGCCCCCTAAATTAGTTATAAAACAGGAAAAAAGATTCTACAAGGCAACAGGCTTATAGGTATGATTAAAATACATAAGTATAGGCAGTTGTTTGGGCCGATTCTGCACATCTTTGATTCGAAAACTAAAAAATCTCATAAAAGAAAAAAAAAAAAGGACAAAGAAACAATTGATTTTGAGTTCTGTGATGTCAGACAAAATTAACCATTGTGATCCCAGGAGCTTGCTTAAGGGGGACCACTTCAGCCCACTTGGAGAAATAATCTATTGCGACTAGAAGAAAGACATAACCCATTATTGAAGGAGGATCAATAGGACCTACAATGTCCATACCCCATTGTGAGAAGGGCCATGATGCCACTATAGGGTGCAAGGACTCTGGAGGCTGATGAACAAGGTTGGAGTGTATTTGGCACTTCTTGGCATAATTCAAGGAATCAACAATCATCGAACGCCAATAGTGCCCCAATCTGCATATCCGTTCAAAGAGTTTAGGGCCAGACTGATGTAACCCGAAGCTGCCTGACTGTATCTCTTGCAACACCTTATTTGCCTCTTGCACATCCACACATCTAAGAAGAATATCGTCAAAAGACTGTCTGAAGAGAGTATCTCCCTCAAGGAGGGTATACTTGGTAGACATTCGACGCACATTGTTGCCCTCGGCACGATCTTCAGGGAGTCTACCATGTTTTATAAAATTAGTGATGGGCTCTCTCCAATCTTCTACCTGCTCAATTTTCGCGCATATTGGGTTGAAGAACTCCGGTTCCTGGTTTTGAACTTTAGCTCCTTGATTCCGTGCCATTTCGTGTTCGGTCTTGATAACTTCTTTGGCTGATAGAAGTGCTCTAATGGATAAGGCAGGCACTCGAGGAAGAGATTTATCTCATCATCCACGTCTACCTCGGTTCTCAATTCAATGTGTCTCCATTCTGTCACCCAAACAGGCGTGGGCCCCGGTGAGGACAATTGAATTGTAGCTCTGAGTTTAGCAAGCACATCAGCCTAGAAGTTTAGTTTCCTGGAGATGTGATTTAGAGAAACATCCTAAAGCTGAGTCGCAAATGACATTGCAGTACCGTGATAAGGCTTGAGAGTGTCTTTTCTCACGTCATAAATCCCCTTAAGCTGTCGCATGACCAACTTAGAGTCACCATAGATTTTGAGCTGCTCCAAGTCTAAGTCAAAGGCTATCTCCAACCCAATTATAAGAGCTGGATATTCTGCCTCGTTATGGGAACGGGCTTTGGTGAGAGTGAAAGAAAGAGGCAGCAATCCTCCTTTCGGAGTCATAAATACCACTCCGGCACCTCGTCGTTCAGATTGGAAGGCTCCATCGAAGTACATCTCCCATGCATGAGCAAGTTTCGCACTAAATACTTCTTCATCAAGAAGGTCACTTGATAAAGGAGATTCCGTTGGTACGGGGTGTGCTGCGAGAAAATCAGCCAAAACTTGGCCCTTGATGGCCTTTTATGCGACATATGTGATGTCAAATTCCATCGGCAATTACGCCCACTTAGCAAGACGTCTTGATAGGCATGGGCGTGTCATGAGAAACTATACAAGATCTGCCTTTGATATAAGTTGTACTTCATGACTAAGCAAGTGGTGGCGGGGCTTTTGTATTGCGAAGATTAGGGCCAAGCACATCTTCTCTATAAGGGGATAAATCTTCTCGGCGCCTTGCATCCTGCGACCGAGATAGTACAGTGCAGTTTCTTTCCCTTCATCATTGTTCTTCGCCAACAATGCCCCAAGTGACTCGTCTAGAGCGGTCATGTACAAGAGAGGTCTTCCCAATATCTGTATAGACAGCACTGGAGAGTTGACCAAATTATGCTTGATGTCATCAAGGGCTGCCTGACATGCTTCATCCCAGATGAATGGGGTATCTTTTTTTAATAGGTGCATAAAGGGTCTACCGTGACTTGAGAGGTTTGAGATGAACCTACAGATGTACGCCAGCTGCCCTTGAAGAGAGCGCAGCTCTCGCAGTATAGTTGGTGACGACATTTCTTGAATTGCCTTGATCTTGACTGGCTCAACTTCCAGCTCTCGGTGTCTAACAATGAACCCCAAGATCTTTCTTGAACGCACGCTAAAAGCGCATTTCAGCGGGTTCCTTTTATGCTGATGAAGGCGTAACCACTTGAACACCTTTTCAAGGTCTCTCATATGAGCGTCATTCTCTTCGGATTTTACCACTAAGTCCTTTACATAACATTCGACCTCCTTTTGCATCACATCCTTGAAGATGGTTGTCATCGCTCTCTGATATGTGGTACTAGCATTCTTCAATCCAAAATGAATCTCTAGATCTATCACCCACCAAATGGACGTCCTGCACTCACTCAAAATGGCGGGATTCATTTTTCCTTCATACTTTTGCTTGAGTTAAATTCTTTAAATTTTTTTTTTGATTACCTAGATGAACTCTACATGCATGCAAAATTTTGGGTCTAGCCTGCCTTTCAAAGTGGCTTAAACTACAGGATAAGCTCATTTGCTTCTATGATCTTTCTCCTATAAAATATATTTAATATATAAAACACGTTGAATTCTAGGAAGTGAGATCGTTGTGCCCCTTTCTAGTTTGTTTGCGCTTCAAATAAAGGTTTATGTGGGACTCAGAGGGAGATTTGGATAATCTTAAAATAATGAGCAGGAAAGAAGTTGTATGGTACATAAAGATGTACAAGCTGATGACTGGTTGAACACGCACTAAATGATAGAGACAATCATTAATTTCTTTTTTTTTAAGAATGTCATTAATGTGCATCACTTTTCATGGTATAGAAAGACTCATGGGTATAAAAGCCTGCTATATCAATATCCCTTCAATTATATACAGAGGAACACTTACAAAACTAAGTCACTACTACTATATAAAGAGTCGACTGGGTTTTACGAAAGTGAAAACATTCCATACCTAGTATGTGTAAGGAATAGGGAAACCCCAAGGACAGTGGGTTATGAGGCTGTTATAGCCTCCCAGTTTCCCTGGTGTGAACAGTTGCTCCACTACAGTGCCCATGAAGGCATGGACCATGTATTGGGCACGAATAACAAAAAACCTAGTCATATGTATCAGCCCGCTTTAGGAATTGCCAAAATAAGTTAAGATATGGAGAGAGAGAGAGAGAGAGAGAGAGAGAGAGAGAGAGAGGAGTAGAGATATACGTCACTATACATAACTAATAAGTTAAGTTAGTTTAGTTAGTAGGTAGGGACGGGACGGAACGTAAACGTTAAGTTAAGGAACGTACGTACGTAACTAACTTAACTTCT